CTGCTTTAGGAGAAGGACATCTAATATTTATTGTAAAACTTTTATTTTCTTCTATTGTTTTTTAACTTACTGTATATTGCCTTTTAAAAACCTGGATTATGAATAAAACACATGGTAGACATTTTTTTTTATACTTAGCCTCAAAAGTGTAAAAGTGCACTTGAGATTTGATGGAGTGTGAGGCTTAAGTGAGGAAACCTATTGTTCCCCAAGTGATAATGCGCTCAGGTCTTCCCAGGTTTGCAGTGAAGGACTGCCTGAGCACACACCTCGCCTCTGAGCCTTTACACGCACTGTTCCTTCTGCCCAAAACACCCTTGCCGGCGTCTCCATGGGTTAAAATTCGACTCACACATTAAGATTTAGTCTAATACTTCTGGTGTGACCCTTCCTGCCCCCCTGAGGAAGAATAGATTACTCTCTCCTCAACCGTCAGCTCAACACTTCAAAATATACTTTACGCAGCACTCTGCACTGGGCCCGGCACACTGCGAGTACTCTAAACATTAGCTATTGCTAGTAGTTTTTATCACGTTATAATACATCTCACTGTATCATAATGATCTTTTCTACTTCCCCACCACGGAAGGCAGGGACCCAGTTTATCCATCTTTGGATGCCCAGGACCAACCCAACTCCGCCTGCCCCCCGCCCCCGAGTGCCTGGTGCAGAATAGGTACTAAATGCTGGTTGAGTCCCGCTGACTTCCTCTGAGTCTGCCTGTCTGAGTAACGGGGTGGTGAAGCTTCCAGCCCCCACCCCTGGGCTGTAGAGAGTCCCCGGCCTACCAGGGAAGATGGGGCTGCATTCAGTCATTACTTACGCTGGGCCACCTCTCGCTGCTTGCGGACGTACCAAGTGTACAGGGCGGCTCGCTTCTGCGTCTTCATGGGGGTGCCTTTGTTGAGGTGCTGGGAGAGGTGGGACTGGTTGAGGCCGGTGGTGTCGACCACCTCCCGCTGCGGGATGTTGTGCTGCTGCAGGTAGGACTTGACCATCTTCGCCACGCGCCACGGGTCCTCCCTGGAAGGAGGACCGTTCAGCTAGGAGTGACCCTGCAGGCAGGGCTGGGAGTCCTGGGTGTTAGGAGCCCCATCTGCCCTGGGGGTGGCGATTGTGAATGAAAGCAGGTGTGGAGCCCGGGGCCTGCACCCTGACTCAAGGACAGGAAGGGGTGGGTACTCATGCCAAGACACAGGGACATTGACACATGGACATGAGGACAGAGACATAGAGACACACACACACATGGCAGACACATGGTCACAGGGCCCAACCAATTCTACACAGACATGGGAACAGATAAAAGTTTAGAAACATGGCCACACAGGCACAGGGACAGATATAGACATGAACACACTCCCAACTAAAAGTTGCACAAGTCCGAGGGGGAAAATCCTCAACCTTTGTGCTTCCTTTAAAGACCCTCCCCTTGTCCTACCTGGAGATGTTATTTGTGGCTGTGTCTTATCCACTGAGAGAGACTAAACACCGTGAGGTCAGGAACTATCTGGTTTTCAGCACCCAAAATAGTCCTGACACATATTACGCCCTTGGTGAATGCAGGAGTGAGTGAATGGATGGATGGATGGGTGGGTGGGTGGGTGGATGGATGGATGGATGACTGAGGGAAACCTACTAGCAAAAAAAATCGGGTCTGAAAACAAGGCGAGAACCAAGATTCTCCCACTTGACAGCTGGGCCCACTAAGGCTAAGAGCACTTGTGTCACTTGCATCTCTTGCCCAAAGTCACAGGACCAGCCCAGCAGAGTCCCATCCCACCTGAAGGGACTCACTTCTAAGTTAGCCTCTCCGGTAAAAGTCACATAACGTCCAAATGCCTCCTGACGATGTGCACTAAACCCGAGGCAGTGGCCCGGCCAGTTTCCCCACAGCGCTGGGGCAGGCCGCTGGCTTTCAACAGAACTGCAGGTGAAGGGCTTATGGGGAGGCATTCAGAGGCCTTGTTGTAAGAAAAATGCACGTGTCTGAGCTCCAGAATCCCACTCTGTGAGCTGAGATTCTCTTCCCCTCATCCTGTCATGAGCTTCTGTTACAAATACGTGTCAGATAGAAGCAGCTCGCTACATCAGTGCTGAAGCAGACAGCACTGGGATTTGAACCCAGGTCTGCCAGACGCCAGAGCTTGTGTTCTCACCCCCTTGACTCAGCAGTTTGTTCTAGAATTTGAGACTTTTGATAGTTACACGTGTGTCAAATGTGTAGGAGGTGACTCATCCCCATGTGGCTTGCCACAGCAAAAGATTGGAAACCACCTAACTGTCCAGCAAAGGGACGCTGATTAAATTGTGGTGCCTCGGGTCGATGCAGCTGTAAAAACTCACTGAGAAAGCTCTGTATGTGCCCAGATGGACAGAGTTTGTCTGTTTTGCTGTACTGGGGTGTAAAATTTAAAGTGGGATAAAAGATGTCTACCGATTTGCTTGTGTTTGCATGAAATACTGGCAAGGCACAGAAGGAACTGGTGACACTCATGGCCTCAAGGTGGGGGGGGNCTTCTGTTCCAAGTGACAGGATTTACCCTGAGCAGCAGGGACAGTCCCTCCTGAGTCCTGCCAGGAACAGGCTGTGCTTCCCAGCTCTCCACAGTCCGCCTTTGTGCACCAAAGCAGCCCGCCTCGGGTTGGGGCACCTCAGCACCCTCCCTCTCTGACACTGGCAGAGCAAGGTGGGGACTGAGGTACAGTTTTCCAGAGAAGGACAGCAGCTCCGTGGCAGCAAAGGGTTTTGCAGGTTCAGATGTTCTGGTCACCCCCCAAGCGGGCCGTGCAGGCATCAGGTCCCAGCCCCTGGGAGGCGGTAGCCTTGGTTACTGGGAGGAAGAGGCCATCTGCGTGGAGATGAAGGTCTCGATGACACTGTGGTTGGGTGGCAGCAGGTGGCTGTGGCCATTGGTGGATTCGGTGCTCTGGTATAACACCAGGCTGCTGGAAGACACTGCGGAGGCAAGGGACGCTGCTGGCTGCCCACCGAGCCCATCCCCGGGGCACTCAGGACAGCGGAGGTGGGTGCTGTCTCACTAACCTGCAGCCAGGCTCTGGGGCCGCCTCAGGACATTTTAGTGGGAACATTAGAGAAGCCCTGCTGAGGTCATTAGTTTTATATGTCATCTTGGCTAGGCTGCAGTACCCAGTCACTGAACCCCAAACACTGATCCAAGTGTTGCTGTGAAGGTTTTTTTGTTTGTGTTTTGTAGATGTGGTTAAAACCTAAAGTCAGTTGACTTTAAGTAAAGGAGAGTTCCCTTGATAACATGGCTGGGCCCCATCCCATCAGAGCCATAGAGCAAAAGCTGAGATTTCCTGGAGAAGAAGGAATTGTGCCTCAAGACTGCAGCATTAACCCCTGCCTGCCTTGCCAGCCTGCTGGCCTGCCCCACAGCTTTGGGACTTGCCAGCCCCCACAGTCATGCCAGCCAATTCCTTAAATATGTACATATTCCTGTCGGTTCTGTCTCGGGAGAAGCCTGACTGATTCCGATGGTTACGAGAATGGGCTTTGAGTTTGGACCCAGGTTCAAGTCCTGGCCCTGCTACCTACTTAGTTGCTGTCAGAGACAAGGCCAAGCACCTCACCTCGTTAAGCGTCCGCTTTCTCATCTGTAAAATGGGGATGATGACACGCGCCTCACAGGTAAAACATGGAGCCTGGACTGTGGAGCCCGTAGTACGTTACTTCAGTTTCCAGGGCTAAGTGGGGCAACAATTTGCCCACAGTCAACGCACTAAGCAAGTGGCCACCTCAGGCCTCAAAGCCCAGCAGCCAGACTCCAGAGTGCCTGCTTTTCACCATGACCTTGCAGGTTGCAGGCTTGGGTCATAGGGGGATGGAAATGAATGGGTCGAGTGGGATATGGTGGCTTTCCATATTGTTGCATGGAAATATTCCTTCCAATTTTCCAAGAGAAGCCAGAAATCTGGATTTCTTTGTGAAAGCTCCTGATTTTTAAATGTTGGCAATGGTTCCAAAAATGCTAAATCCGGAGCCGCTTCTGGCCCAAAACTAGCCTAGTTGACTCCTCACTGTTACCCGCCCCTGCCTCCCCCCATGACTTTATCTTTTTCCTCGACCAAGTCAGTGAGATGTTCCTGTAAGATGTGCCCGCTTCCCTGTGGTTCACACCCCTCTTGGCTCACTGCAGGGGCGCACAGAGTGCCCTTCAAAACCTGCCTCGTGGCCCTTCCCGTTGCCCACTGTGCTGCACCCTCAGCAAGGAACAGGCAGCAGGGAAAGGCTGCTCACCTGTGGGGCTGGCACTGAGCCGATGGGAGGGCTGCAGGTGCTGGATGCCAGCGGGGTCCTGGCTGGGGATGTGGATGGTGGTGGCCTGAGATGCTGGCGTGTGAAGCCCAGACTCGCTGGAGGCCCCGGTGTCTGAGGTGAAGACCTGGGGAAACAGAGCAGCCTCCTGAGCCCCTGGGGTATACGCTGGAGAGGGGCCCGAGGGAGGGGCCAGAGTAGGCCTGGGCCTTACCTGCTTGGTGGGCGTGAGGCTGGCCAGCGCGCTCAGGTTGGTGGTGTCAGTGATAAGCATAGTCTGTGGAAGCAGGCCCGTGTGGGTGTACTGGGCCACCTCAGGCTTGTGGCTGTAGAGGGCTGGCCAGGAGGGAGAAGATAGAGGCGGATACAGACATGGCACCCCGGGCCAGGCTGGCCCTCTCCCAGGAGGGCCTCAGGGCTGGGTGCTCTGGGGGAAGTGGGGCACGAGGCCTGGTGAACGGCTCGATGGGGCAGTGCTTGCGGACTGATTTCCAAAACTGGAAACTCCAGATGGGTTGGACCCTCTCCCCAATGACAGGGTGCTGCTCAGATTGGTTTGGTGGGAAGAAGCCTGGGAGAAGCCAGGAACCCAAACCCAGCCCCTCCCATCACCTGGAGACGACAGGTGTGCAAGGGAATGGGAGGCACAGGTGCTCTTGTACTAAGTACGGAACTCGGAGGGCAGCGGATCTCCCCCTCCAGGACACCCCTTGAAATGTAACCTGAAGTTTCACCTACAGCCACCCCCACAAAAACGCACAGATACCAGCAGAAAAACATATTCTCACATTGACTCAGATAAAAATCATAACCACCCACATACACAAATAGGTGCGCTCAACCGGATACACACAGATGTACCCAGGTCCACAATCCCTTATCCCCAATTCTGAATTCCAAAAGTCTGAAAACCCGTCGGTTTTCATAAGTTTGGCCCTAAAGCTCATTTGGTAGCAAAATCTGACCTAAGTCTGTTGTGAGGTTATTTAAGTTTTTATTAAGCTACTTGGTGGAATTCTACCTTTTGCTGCAGAAAGCATAATACTTGGTGACAGTGTTGCCCCAAACCCTGCTGGGAGTCTTATGTCATCTATGGTATGTCCACCACATTAGCTTTCGAAAATCTAAAAATAGTGAATTCTGAAATACATGTGGCCCCAAGGGTTCAGTTCAGAGGACTGACCTGTACTCCCATGCGTGGGCATGCAAACACCGATGAACACCCGGATGCGTATCTACTCACACGAACACGTGCACACACTCATGGCCACATGTGTTCACACACTGAAACATTCCAGCCACAGACGCATCTGAGCACCCACAACCCCCCATATGCACACACACAACACAGAAACACCGGTACCAGACACACAGAAACCACAGTATCTGCTAGGCCACCCCGTCCCCCTGTGCTCACCATGGGGGCTCTGCAGCTGGGCCATGGTGGCCATGAAGGGATTCTGGGCCATGTGACTCTGCACAGGAGGCATGAGTGGCTGCTGGTAGGAGGGGTGCAGTGGCTGGGAGAACTGGACCGGCTGCAGGGTGGTCAGGCTGCTGCCCATGCTGTTGATGACNGTACTTTGAGTGATTCCTTTCATAGATAGTGCTTTCCTTTCTTCCTACAATTGCCTTTTTACTTGTCTTCTTTCTTTTATTCCTGCATCCTGAGTACCTTGAATTCAACCCTGGCCTGTACTTATTCCACAATTATTTATTGAGTGAGAGGTTATGTGATGTGAACTTCATGAAAGCTTGGATCTGGCCTGTTCCCAGACCCCGGGTATGCAACTTTGAGAAAGATATGCAACATTTATTTCACACCAAGACACTATGCCAAGAGCTGGAGATGTAAAGATAAAATGAGGCAGACCATGTACTCCAGTAGCTTACAAATCCAGGGAGAAGATGGACTTGCAAATAAAGTGTCCAAAACAATATAAAACTTCACTGTGTCCTGACACTAACTCTAGAGGGTTGTTGATCTTACCCTCATTTTATAGATGAGGTAAACAAAGGCTTAGGGAGGTAAAGTGACTTGCCCAGGGTCACACATCTTGCCAGGGCTCAACTGAACTCTGTCTTCTGGAGCCTGGGGTCTAATACTGCTTCTGTACTATGACAGCGCCTCACATCCATTGCTCTAGTAATGACGGAAGAAACGCTCCTCTCCCTTGTGATTGCATGCAAGAAAAAGAAGCAAGTCTTTAAAGACTGTCCATCCCAGGGCCCCACATTCCTCAACCCCAGGACCGTCAGGCACTTTGCATTCCATGTTGTGCTCCAGAGCATGTGCACACAGACCACAGTGTACACTGGGCTCCCTGCAGTTGCTTAATACTGTGGCCCTGCTTTGGGCCCAGAGTTACCAAGTGTCCATTTTCCTCAGCCTCTTAAATACACAAGCACATTTTGTCCCGTTGTTCAGGTCAAAGCCCTCATAGAGCCATCTTTCACTCATTTCTCACACCATCCATCTAGTCCATCGGCAAAATCCTGTTGACTCCATCTTCAAAATACGCGTGTCCTGAGTGCTGCCACTTCTCACCATCTCAATGTTTGTAGCAGTGTCCCTGCTTCTGGCCTTATCCCACTGTGCTCTCTCCATACAGCAACCAGAGAGAGTCTGTAAAATCCTAAGTTCGTTGATGTCTCTGCAGAATCCTCCTGCGGCCCCTCCTCTCCTTCAAAACTGAGGACCTCACATTGGCCCACCAGGCCCCTTGTGATCTGGCCCCCATGAGTTCCCCATTTCTGCTGCTCCCCCAGCCACACCAGCCTCCTTGCTGGCTCTAAAATACACCAGATGGGGTTCTTTCTGTCTCAGGGCCTTTGCAGGTGCTTTTCCCTCCACCTGGAGGACTCTTCCCTAGGTATCCACTTGGCTTCCCCTCATCTCTCTCAAATCTCTGTTCAGATGTCACCTATCAGTGATGCTCTTCCTGCCCACCCAGAATTCCCCACCTCCTTCCCTGCTTTGTTTATCCCTGTACTTTTCATTACCTAATTTTATGTTTTAATTGTGTGTGTGTTGTCATCTGTCTTCACCGACTAGAATGTAAGCGCCATGAGGGCTGGGATCTTTGTCTAAGTTATTCAGCCACTAGAACACCACCTGGATAATATTAGACCTTCAGTATTTGGTTGAGTGAATGACCACCAGGCCAGGCATCCCCAGTGTCTTGGCTTGAAAAATGTGATCGACATAACTGGGCCACCTTCTTCTCTGTCCTCCACAGCACTTAGCACACAACCAGGCACCCAGTAGGCACTCAGTTAATGCTAGAATCAGATTACACTTAGGCCTGTTCAGCATGGTGGTTAAGACAGGGCCTCTGAAGACAGTTGACCCGTGTCCTCATCGCAACTCTCACTTATTAGCTGTTTGACTCTAGCTAAGCTACTTTATTTAATTTATTTTTTTTAAGAAATTTTATTGGGGAATAGTGTGTTTTTCCAGGACCCATCAGCTCCAACTCAAGTAGCTGTCTTTAATCTAGTTGTGGAGGGCGCAGCTCCTTGGCCCATGTGGGAATCGAACCAGCAACCTTGGTGTTATGAGCCTGTGCTCTAACCACCTGAGCCAACCGGCCGCCCCTAGCTAAGTTATTTTATATCTCCTTGTTTCAGTTTCATCTTCTGAAAAAGGGGAAAATAGTGACCCCCCCTCTAATGGGGTGGTTGGGAAGATTCAATGAGTTATGCTTGTAAATCACTTAAAATCATGCCTGGCACACAACAGATATTGTTTCCTCTATAAATGCTCAGTTTTCTTTTTTTTTTTACAGATGCTGTAGCCAATCAGTTACCAACCACCCAGCGGAGCCTCAGGTACTGTGCACTTTGGGTTCAAGTTTCACTATTTATTCAACAAATATGGATGCCCTGCTGTGTGCCGATGCTGGGTTAGACCCTGGGCTGTCAGGGTGAATGAGACACACAAAGTCCCTGCCCTAATGGGGGCAGCTTCTGAGCTGGCAGGAAGTGAGGTCTTTTCTCTTTGTGTTGTAGGCAGAAGGTAGATGAGCACGAACAAGATGGTAACGAGCTTCAGACCACCCCCGAATTCCGAGCCCATGTAGCCAAGAAGCTGGGAGCCCTACTGGACAGGTAACCTAAAGCTTACCTTCTCTTCTGCCCTCATCAATATGAACAGTAATGGCTGACATTGACTGGGAGCTCACAGTGTACAAGTAGGCAGCATGGCAGCCACAGGGCACGTGCCCCCTCACTGCGTTCATCATCACCCTACCATGTCGCCTATCACCTTATCCCCCAGATGAGGAAACAGAGGCTCTTCATGAAAAGAAACATTAGCCTAAAAGGAGTAAGGGACAGAGCTGGGACTCGAACCCAAGTGTGTTTGACTCCAAAGGCCATGCTCTTGACCACGGTGTTATCCTGCTACCATGAGAATAAGAGAGGAACCCTGAGAACAAGAGCGCATTCCCACCACGAGAGGGCAAAGGACAGATGGAATTACTTTCTTGGGTGCTTTCCGTGTGCCAGGCACTGTGCCAGTTCTCTTTCTTACATTTGAGAATGCCATCTGTAAAGATCCAGGTCAGCATTCCTAAAGTAGGTGCCAAGGAATACGAGTCCAGAGTGAGGCTCTAGACAAAAGAGGTCCAACAGCAAAGAAGTTGAGAAACACTGCTGTCTGCATACCCCCATGTAGACTGANTGTCCAGGTAGAGAAACGGAGGCAGGAGGCATAGAAGAGACTGGCTCAAGGTCACACAGTGAATTAGAGAAGGAGCTCAGTGTCCTGCTGTGGCCTCAGGCACAGGGCACCTGGGGAGACCGGGGACCCAGGACCCACCCTGCCCTCTTCCCAGACACAGTCTTCTCCAGACAGATGGCTTCCACTGGAAGTCCTGCCTCTGCACCATCCTTTCCAGCTTCAAACTCCCCCGCTGCCTAGGCGGGACATCAGGGGTCCCCAACCCCTCTCCTCTCTGTGCCCTGGGACTATAGGTCCCACTTTTTTTCTCTCGGGGTGGTTTCTGATCCCTTTTGTTACCTGAACAATAAGTAACCCAGGTAGTTAGTTATAAACTCCGCAGGAACAAGGAGCTGGTTGATAATTTATAGCAACATCTCAAATTTAAATGGAAAGTAAATAGCATGCTGTTAGCATTAAAGAAAACCCAGTCGGGGCAGGCGGGAGCACTCCAGCCTCCTCTCAGCTTGGGGCGCCTCACTCTCTCCCCAGCCCCTTCTCCCAGCTGGGTGTAAGCCCCTCTTTCCTTCCACTCCTCTGCGCAACTCTGCTTCTCCAAGCCTCTCTCCGTTTACCCGGACGTTCTCTCTCTTCCTTCATGTCTCCCCTCTCTCCCTTGGCTTCCAGGCCTCTGCTGGTCCCCAGGGAGCACTTTAACCTCTGCTCCCACCCTCAAGTGCTGTGGATCAAGTCTCCCCCCCCCACCCACCATCCCACCAAAGGGGATGCTGATCAAGAGGCCCCACCCAGCCAGGTAAGAAAGGCCCTTGGCACCCCCTGTCCCCACTCCCCAGATTCCCATCTGGGNATCCCACATATGAGGGCCAGTGACACTGCCCTCCACAGCTAAGATGCTGAACAACAGCTCAACCTGGAGCTGGGCTGCCGTGAGTCGCCGGCGACGATGTAGTGGGTTGCCATAAGCTACCGTCTGTAGCCAGCAGCCAGCATGAGCGGCCGTCCAGAAGCCGGCGACTGATCTCCCTCGCCCGGGAGGAGCGCAATGATGGTGCCAGCTTGGGCAGTGAAGCAACATCATCCACAACTAGACTGAAGAACAAAAAACAACAGCAACTTGTCTATTCCCCTTCCCCCGATTCCCCAGCGCTGTTCCCCTCCCCCAACTCCCCAATAAAATCTTTAAAAAACAACAACAACAACAAAAAAGTGATTTGGGTGCTGCCTCCCGGTCAATGCCGAATCTTGATGAGACATTTTAAATAAACATCACACAGGAGGAGTCCTCCTGCCTACACCCCAAGATGGGTTCCTGCACCCCAGCTTCGAGCCTTCACGAAGTGTCACAGCACTTGTGAGCTGAGTTTCATGCACAGGCTATTCTGCAAGACGGAGCAGAAGCTCAAGGTTGAGGTAAAATTCTGGCCTTGTCGCCTTGCCTCAGATTCAGCAGAGCCAGAAAGACAGGTGGGGTGTGAGGGTGTGTACGGGACCCCCCTCTCCCCAAACCCCCTGTGTACCCCTGCCTCCCTCTGCCTGCCCAACCCCATCTGGGCGATGTGTGGACAAGCAAGAAGTTTCCGATAACGTTCTTTGTTTACTAAAAGTTAAATAAATGTACAGACCTGCCCTTAGCTGGCTGCAAGCTGCAGGGAGTGCTGGTTCTCCCAGGCCCTTCCTCAGTCACGGGATGGAGGTGGTCTACAAGGGCCAAGTTATCTGCAGCAGCGTCAGGGAGATGAGGTCACAGGAGCCCCAGGTTTACACAGCTGCCTTGTCCCTCCCCATGGTGTTCAGGGGCTCAGGCTCCTCGGGGCTGCACCTGTCTGGACCTCGTCCCATCCGTCAGCCTACCAGGCCTCCAAGCTTCCAGACAGGTGGCTCCTCCCTGCTCATCTCGCCTTCCTCTTCTCCCTTTGGGCACCTCCGCTCTGCCTACTGCTCAGACCTTGCTGCCTTCTGAGCTCAGCAGCTTCTCCCCAAAACCAGGGAAGGGTCTACAGGGCCCCAGAGGCCAGAGGAGCTGCAATCCCAGGACTTAGCACCAAGTGCAGAGTTGCAAGGCTCCTTCCAGGAACAAGGACAACTTACTAACTAGCCTTGAGGGGGGCTTTTCGGTAGAGGCAAGGTGCCAGGCTGGCATCGGAAGGCATGATGCTCTGGGGAACGAATGTCCCAGAAAACTGGAGGTCACGGGGTCTGGAGAGAGGGATGGCTCAGGATGTGGGAAGCTGGAGAGCCCGGATGCCTTCGCTGTTAGCTTGAGCTCCCCCAGGGCTTGGGCATCTGTGCCCCAGGCCCTGGGACAGAGGAGCCCCTCATGGAATGCTTATGTGCGTGGGGGACAGGTGGGTACAAATGGGCATGTGGGTCAATAGGAAGGGGGCAGGATGGAGTGGCCTGGACAGGGCATAGGTGACAGAATGGGGCCACATTGATCCAGGGCCTCTCTCGTTGCTCAGTGACTCAGCTACACAGGCTAGTGGCCTGAGACGTGTGGCTGCCAGAGTTCCCTTTAGGGTGCTGGGGCTCTCCATAGGCCCAGGCCGGGGGTACCAGCATCCAAAGCCTGTCCCCTTCTGTTCCAAGTGACAGGATTTACCCTGAGCAGCAGGGACAGTCCCTCCTGAGTCCTGCCAGGAACAGGCTGTGCTTCCCAGCTCTCCACAGTCCGCCTTTGTGCACCAAAGCAGCCCGCCTCGGGTTGGGGCACCTCAGCACCCTCCCTCTCTGACACTGGCAGAGCAAGGTGGGGACTGAGGTACAGTTTTCCAGAGAAGGACAGCAGCTCCGTGGCAGCAAAGGGTTTTGCAGGTTCAGATGTTCTGGTCACCCCCCAAGCGGGCCGTGCAGGCATCAGGTCCCAGCCCCTGGGAGGCGGTAGCCTTGGTTACTGGGAGGAAGAGGCCATCTGCGTGGAGATGAAGGTCTCGATGACACTGTGGTTGGGTGGCAGCAGGTGGCTGTGGCCATTGGTGGATTCGGTGCTCTGGTATAACACCAGGCTGCTGGAAGACACTGCGGAGGCAAGGGACGCTGCTGGCTGCCCACCGAGCCCATCCCCGGGGCACTCAGGACAGCGGAGGTGGGTGCTGTCTCACTAACCTGCAGCCAGGCTCTGGGGCCGCCTCAGGACATTTTAGTGGGAACATTAGAGAAGCCCTGCTGAGGTCATTAGTTTTATATGTCATCTTGGCTAGGCTGCAGTACCCAGTCACTGAACCCCAAACACTGATCCAAGTGTTGCTGTGAAGGTTTTTTTGTTTGTGTTTTGTAGATGTGGTTAAAACCTAAAGTCAGTTGACTTTAAGTAAAGGAGAGTTCCCTTGATAACATGGCTGGGCCCCATCCCATCAGAGCCATAGAGCAAAAGCTGAGATTTCCTGGAGAAGAAGGAATTATGCCTCAAGACTGCAGCATTAACCCCTGCCTGCCTTGCCAGCCTGCTGGCCTGCCCCACAGCTTTGGGACTTGCCAGCCCCCACAGTCATGCCAGCCAATTCCTTAAATATGTACATATTCCTGTCGGTTCTGTCTCGGGAGAAGCCTGACTGATTCCGATGGTTACGAGAATGGGCTTTGAGTTTGGACCCAGGTTCAAGTCCTGGCCCTGCTACCTACTTAGTTGCTGTCAGAGACAAGGCCAAGCACCTCACCTCGTTAAGCGTCCGCTTTCTCATCTGTAAAATGGGGATGATGACACGCGCCTCACAGGTAAAACATGGAGCCTGGACTGTGGAGCCCGTAGTACGTTACTTCAGTTTCCAGGGCTAAGTGGGGCANAAAAAAAAAAAAAACCAGGTCTGCCCTGCTCTATTATAAGCTGACCGCTGCACCATTTCTCTACACTGGTCATGTTTCCTTTTTCATGCTTGCTGCCAGGAAACTCAGCGTGCCCTCTCTAGCATGTGTACAGGACTTCCTCACCACACGTCAGCGCTTTCTGTCCCTCCTGCATTTATTTTCTCTCTGCCCTATTTGAAATTTTATTCATTTTGTTGCACTATGAGTATCTCTAAAAATTCTTCCATGTTTTCTGGAATAAAGGGGTTTAAACAAATGAAGCACTGCAGTTTGAGCTGGCAGGCGCTGGTTACAGGTTATGGCTGTAGGCCTCAGCGTTCTTATCAGGCCAGTATATTTCCTGCTTTTTCATTTAAGATCACTCGCCTCTATTCTCTTTAAAAAATGTTTTTGTTATTACCCCAAATCTTATCCTAAAACAACTGTCTCCTCTTCCCTTAGCTCCATTACTATCTCAGAAGTCACAAAGGAGCCAACAAAGGCTGAGATACAGAAGAGAGTCACTCCAGAGGATGATGGTGAGTAGTTACACTGTTCATGTCAGCCATCACTTAGTAAGCACCTACTGTATGTCTGGAACTGGGAAATAGAGTTTGGTATATTCCCTTTCATCTGTGCAGCCTGCTCTTGAGGCGGGTATCATGATGATAGCCTATTTACAGGGGGGACTGTACAGGAAGCTGAGGCTCTGAGAAATGAAGTCCCTTGCCTGAGGGACCTCGTCTGTACAACCCGGAGCAGGAGCTCCTTACCGCCACACTCCACAGCCTCTCCCACCTGAGTCTGTCCCATGTCACTCATTTGCCACTTAGGAAGCTGCCTTAGGCAGGAGGCTCCACTGCTCCCTTCCAGAAGCTGCTGAGAGCTGGCTGACCTGATTTGGCAGCTGGTGTCCCGTCATCACATGAGGCACCACTCTGTGGTTAGATCAGAGCGATTCCTGAGCCTTCACTCTGGATTGGGAGCTCCTTGAGGGCAGAGGCAGGGCAGCCTTGGCCCCTGGCAGTGCTGACTCTGCCCCTTTGGATTTTAGGCTTCCGCCTTTTCTTCACATCCATCCCTGAAGGCTCTGAGGAGAAAGCTGCTCCCCATCCCCGCCAAAAACGATTGCCTTCCAGCTCCAGGTGAGACTGCACACCCTCTCCTCAAGTTCCTTCCTTTTTGCCCGTTTTCTGTGTTGGCCAGAGTCCCAGAAGAGTCCAGCCGACTCCAGGGAGGTCCAGGCCGAGAAGGAACCCTGTCAAGTAGCTGAGGAAACAGCACCCTGGAGGGGGAAGAGGTTCCACTGGGGGTTGGCCTCGGGCGCTTACTGCTGTTGGAGTGCCCATCTTGTGCCTCGGACATTCCTGTGAGGCCTGGGCTCGGTGAAGAGCCGCATTGTATAGATGAAGACACGAGGGTCAGCGAGGTTAAGTTACTGAATGAGGTCACATAGCTAGGGAGCGGGGAAGCCGGTATCAGAACCCAGGTCTGCCTCACTCCCAAGCCTGAGCGCTCTGACTGCCTTCTCCTGTGGCCCCTTTCTGGTGGCTCGGACCGAGGCAGTGAGCGGCAGCTGTGGGGCCCAGTCCTGACTCCAGCTGACCCGGACTGCCCTCCCCTTGCAGCAGCGAGGACAGCAACGAGGAGTGGCAGCGGTGCCAGGAGGCAGCTGTGTCAGCCTCTGACGTCCTCCAGGAGTCCGCCATCCATGGCCCTGTCAAGGTGGAGAAAGAGGCAAAGAAGAAGAAAAGGAAGTTGAAAAAGAAAGGCAAGAAGGAGGCCAGTGCAGACTTGGCCGCAGCCACCACCACAAGCAAGGCCACAGTCAGGAAGCAGGAAAAGGAGTCAGCTAAGCTCAACGGAGACCAGACATCACTTGGGACCAAAAAGAAGAAAAGGAAGAAAAAGGCAGAGAAGGCCGGTGAGGCTTCCCCGTTACCACCAGCCAAGAGTGCAGCGGCCGTGCCTGCAAACTGACCCCAGGCAACGGGCACAGCTAGCCCCAGTACCAAGGCGCCCTCTGGGACGAGGCATTTCTAAGACCTGCCTCCCTCTCCAGGGATTTGGCTGGCAAGTCCAGGCTGTGCCCAGGGGTCCGATTGGGGCTTGCCCAAGGGTCGGGGCAAAGCTGTAGTTATAGGGTGAGAAGCCTAAGCAAGGCCTGCCCTTTTGTGCTCCCCCTGGAGAATGGGACAGACGTGGTACCAGAACATTCCGTGGCCTCAGGAAGAAGGAGTCTTCCAGCCATTCAGTGCTAATGGCCGAGTGGCGAAGCTTTCCTTTCCCCAGTACCATCTGAGGAGAGCGAATGAGGGAGACATTTTCCTTCCCCTCCATCTCCTTAGCCTGTTGTGGGAGACAATCTTAAGAAAATGAGGAAGGGGTCCTTGAGGTGCCAAGGCCCAAAGAGTTTGTANAAAAAACCTTATTAAAAATGAGAAAACTTAATCTTGCCTGTTTCTTTTCACTTTTGTAATGGTACTACCAGAAATGTTTAAATTACATATGTGGCTCCTATTTCGATCAGACAGCACTGCTCTATAGTTTACTTATGTATTATGTTTGTTATGTATGGTCTGTCTTCCTCTGCTAGAATGCAAGCCCCCTGAAGGCAGGGCTTTTGTCTGTCTCCTTCACTGCTGTATTCCCAGTGCCTAGAATAGTGCCTCGTACATACATAGTAGGTGCTCAATAAATATTTGTTGAATGAATAGCTAAATTTCACTGTGCATCGACCATATATACCTAGCTCTACGATAAGCTTTAGTAACATATTAAATTCTCAGAGCGACTCTAGGAAGTAGGTACTCCTATTATTCCCCCAGGAGAGGAAACAGAGGCTCAGAGGGGTTTAAATGGCTTGCTCGAAGTCCCCCAGAGCCAGATAGACTGTGCAGGATGACGTTTGCAGTTACCTCTTGGGAAAGCGGGACCCCACCTTTCCTCTAATGCCTTCTTTTTCCTCCAATTCAAGTAGCTTGGGAGCCAGGCAGCTCACTGCCTATGGGGGGAGCGGGTGAGGGCAGAATTCTCAAGTCTTCACTAAAGGACAGGGAGGATGCTTTGTGCCTTCCCTTGGTGGTTTCGTGGTTCTCCGGCTTGCTATCTCCTGCCAGGAGGCTGCTTGCTGGAGGCTGCTGCGCCTCGGTGACTCTTCACCTAGAAGGACAAGAAGGGTGGCGCCTGGATCCTTGGCACAACTTTTGAACTCATTAACTGCTGAGTCCTCTTGCAGCCAGTTGGCTGAGCTGGTGAGGTGCCTCTGGGACTGAAGGTGGACATGGCTGGGAGAAGGACCAGCAGTGGGTGGGGGTAGAGCCTCCAGGGAGTCTAAGGGCCCCCGCCCAGGGCTCAACTTCAGCTCCCCAGTTGAGCTGAAGCTATTGTCCTGGGCCCCTGAGTAGGGCCCTGTGATAAATGAGAAGGGTCATCAGGAAGCTGACCCTGCCTCTCCCAGGATGAGGCACACAAACGAAAGCTGGTCCCAGCCCCCAGCCTGCCCTTCCGCACAATCACGACACAAATGGGAATTGACTGGAGGTGGGGAGTGGCAGTTTGACTTCTTAAAAATCACACAGGACCTCATTTGAATTTCACTGTCCCACGCACCCCACCCCCACACTGGGAGGCCTCAGGCAGATGAGTTAGTGTTTCTTGGCTCATCTATAAAATAGAGGTATGGATCTCCTGGACTTGCTTAAGACAACTTTTGTAAAGTTGAGAAGAGCATAATGCAGAGATCCCAGACTTTCTGGATTCAAGGTGCCTTTAGTAATTTTTTCATGGCACTTCCCCCCACCCCAAAAGTACTAACAGTTATATTTAGGAAGTAGTTAGGTCAAAACAACTAAGTATTTATGTCTTAACAACTTAGTAGCCGCTTGAAAAATGCACATAAAATTGAAAGAAAAAATAATATTTTGAGTTCCTTCTTAAATAATCATATGTACTAATGGGGTGAGTGGGCTTGTTGGGCTCTAGACGGCTGCTCAGATCTTGGAATTAGATTACATATCACCACCTTCATTTCCTGTTCCACACTCATTTTTGCATGATACTTGCTTTTGATCAGAACAACTGCCATAAACCCAGCCTCACAAAGTTAGGATATCATCTGAAGGAACGGAGCACCGCCTAACAAACCGTGAACCACCTTGAGCTGGTAGTTTACAAGGCGGCCGACAGATGTCGCTGTGTTCCTTTCAAAACGCCTCTCGGCGCTGAGTTTGGGGGAACTTGGCGGACCTAATGGATCTCTTTGGACACAGTAGGTGTTCAGTAAACGGTAGCTGTGAAGACTTACCACCATTCTCTCCCACTCGGAAAGTAGATGTCTGCAAAGCCAAAGTTCAGGCAAGGCATAAAACTTCTCTTTGGCCTTACGAGGTGCCACAAAATGGGTGCCCTGTCAGCCAATCTCAGAGCTCTTGGAATTCGCTTACCCCCATCCCAAGGTCTGTCTGTATTCAAACTCATGTTCTTCCTCCCAGCCCCACTACACTTCCTCGTGATTTCCTGAAGGTGTCTCGTCAATACAATTAGATCGTAAACTTTGCAGGAGCAGGAAGAATCCCGACCTTCCTTTTACTCTCCTTGCCCCTGCCCAGCTCTGATCTGCACATGCTGACCCTCAGGGCAGAACAAAGACTTGAGGCTGTCGGCATAAGAACGTCCAAACCTGTAAAGAATTTTTGTGAGATTTTATTTGAGCCAAACTAACAACAGTTGCTGGGAAGCAAGTTCTCCAATGCTCCCTAGAATGGCAGTTTGCAGCTGCTTTTATGCATTTTGAATTAAGGAGGGAACATAAGGTGGGAGAAAGCAAAGTAGGGGATTGAATTACAGGATAGTTAACAAGATTTATGCTCTCTTGAGAGTGGTTACCTTTATGTTAATCTAGATGCACAGGAACAATGGACAGGGCTTGTTTAAGGTAAAGATAAACCTTTTACTAAAAGGGTTATATGCCTGGGACATGACTATCCACCATGCCCTGCCTGGTGAGGAATTTATGATCAATCACATCACCCTGTGAAGTTACTTTCCGTAGAACTTCTTTTTTGTCCACAAGGCAAGAAAAACACCTGTAGGAGGAAGAGACCAGGCAGAGCCCAGGGGGGCTTCTGTCATCCTCTTCATTGACAGCAGAGGGCGCTCTAATCCCACACAGCAAAAGGCTCCAAACCTGCCTGGTCCTGAGAATTCCCAGTCACGGGGGGGCGGGGATTCCAAGCATCTGCCCCCAATGTTCCTGAATCAGACTCTTGAACAGAAATGCCAGTGAATCTCTTCTTTGAACAAAAACCTCAGGCAATTTTCTCAGAATCAAGCAAGTGACAGTAACTTGGTTTACACAGCTTCTTGGGTGTCTCAGATGTGGCTTCTGCCCTCCAGCTGTTTACCAGACAGATAACCTGATTGGGACAAACCAAAGCCTGGAGAAACACTAAAATACAAGGATATGAACCAAAGTGAACAAACAAATGCATTAGCTGAGACTTCACACGTTAGTCCCTGGGGCAGGAGGTATTGTATGACTCAGAACAAGTCCCATAACCACTTTGAACCTCAGCCTCCTGGTCTGGAAAGTAGGAGTAATGTGGGCCTAATAGGGAGGTTGTGAGAATTCAACGAAATAAGCTTCAGTTGTATCTGCACAGCAGGTAGGCNCACATGGCAGTGAGTTGATGGTGAAGTTGAACAGCAAGAGCAACTGGGGAGGACAAGAAAGGAGGTAACGTATCAAGGACAAGCTTGCAACCTTGAGGGTGCTGTGCAGAGTGTGGGGGTTGGGAGGACCTGGGTCTAAGTCCTGGCCTGAGTGCTTTGTAAGAGTTACCTTGGACAAGTCGCTTTGCCTCTCTGAGCCTTCGTTTGCTCATCTGTAAAATGGGACCCCTCATAATAGTAACCGTTTACTGCACTTACTACATATGCACTCTACATGTTATGCTCCTTAACGCTGTGGGTCGGTGTTATTATCATCTCCGCCTTGCAGAGGAAACCGGGCCTCAGAAAAGTGAAATCACCTGCCCGCATTAGAGTGAGGAAACTGGGGTTCAAAACCAGGCAGGTTGGCCTCAGTCAGGGATGTCAGATTGTCCCACCTTGGCCACTGTCTTCCTGGGTCTCAATGCCTTGGCACTGCCCAATAGAGAGGCTCAGAGACCTTCAGGGTTGAGGTTTGAGCTGGTCAGGGACAGGGAGGACCTAGGAGGACACCCCGGAGGAGACCCAGGTACAGGTTCCTCCCTTGGCCACAGCAGCTGATGTCCCCAGGGCATCGGAGAATACTAGTCACTCATTCATTCGTGCTATGTGTCAGCCAGTGGGCTGGATATCAGCGGGGAGATGGTGAGCTAGGCCACATGGACCCTGTCCTTGAAGAGCTATTTTCATGGCAGGAGAACAGACAGGAGAAAGTAAAGGAAGCTAGCGGAAGAGAGAGNACACACACACACACACACACACACACACACACACACACACACATCAGCCATCTGAGCATGGCATCTTCACTGTGAGCTGCTGATGTGAGAAGTCTTTGTAATGTGATCCCGAGCAGGGAGCGGGTAATATTCCCATAATAAGGTCAGGGTGACTGACTGGTTCTTATGAAATTAAATTAAAATGCTATAACTTGGGGGCATATGAGTTTCCCACACAGAAGATGGGGGGGGGGAAGGGGGATGTTTTCAGAAGGAAATTAATCTTTGAGGTTTGAGACATGTTTGAATTTAAATATACATTAAGACAAAACCAGCTACTACCTGGCATTAAAATCCCCACTGATATCCAGCCAACCCCATTCTCCCTGCTCCTGATCAGAGGAGTCAACAGATGTGGGACTGAAGTCGCTGTCCCTCTCTGTGAGTCAGCAGAAACTCCAAGAAGAAAGGCTTTTGACAGTCATCAGATTCCAGAAACTGTGTACTGAACAATTTACAAAAAGGGGCTTCAATTGGGACTTGGACATTTTTACAGAGATGAGTGAGGGCAGGAGGAAGGGAAGACATGAGTTGTGAAAAGGTAGGCGAGAGAAGTAAGCTGTGCAGAAATGAAGGGAGCATCACAGGGCTACCATTTTGCATGACTCCGGGGTCACACCCACCCACAGAGAAGAGAGGCCTACACTATTTCTAAAGGCCCGTTGAAAAGAGATTACACTGAACCCTCCCTGGGCGTTGATGGAAGAAGCTTGGAGGGGTAAAGGCTGAGCCAGGGTCCCTCCCCTGGGAAGTGGGAGACACCCCAAGACTGGAGACATGGTTTGGGTTCCTAAGGATCTGTGACCAAGGCAAACTTGGGGAGACTGGATCCTGGATATGAAACAGCCAGTCTGAATAAAGACCCCCTGCACCAAAGCTTGACATGGAAATAGTGGTCTTGCCAGCCTTCGGGGGTTCTGCAGGCTTGAACAGAGGGTATATCAGGGTAACCAGTGCGGACCAAAGACCGGAAGGCCCACTCAAACATTTTTGCCTGAAGGGATCCCACAACCTTTGTTTTTGTACAAGACTAGAAGGAGGAAGCCTTGAGTTATGACTGAATGCATACTTATTACAGGAGTCTCAATTCTTCTTGCCGGGGCAGTGAAGAATCAAAGGCCAGCAAGCTGATTAATATGCAAGAAGGGTTTGTTAGTGATACACTCTCAGGAAAGAGAACGGGCCTAGCCGAGGTGTGTGTGTGTGTGTGTGTGTGNGGGGAAGGGGGTCCTTACTGCAGCAGGCTCTCCACCACGGCTTTCTGGTGGGCTGCCTCCTCGGGGCTGAGGTTCTCCAGCTCCTTGAGGATGGGCGGCGTGAAGTCTTCCCCATCGTCGTCGGTCTCGTCCTCGGAGCCCCTCGTCTCCCCCAGCCCATTGGGCAGCTCAGCCATCTCTCCTCGACCGCCGCTGCAGGACTCCGCCTTGTCCAGGGGGCCATCTCCAGCCAACAGGTAGGGCCCCGGCTCACCCAATGCCTGGATCAGCGCCTCTTTGCTCAGGCCCGACTCGAGCAGGGCGGCTAGAAGCTCCATCTGCAGCTGGCTCAGTTTAGAAACCATGGCTCCACGACCACTGGGCCACGCGGCCCCGGCCACCAAGCGGGCCGCCTCCCCCACCGCGTGGACTGTCTACTTGCCGGCCGGCCAGCAGGCAGGTACAAACCAGGCTCCTTGCACCTACGGTCCCCCCCAAACCCCACTAGCCAAGCCCTGTGGGCACCCCCAACCCCCAACCCTGGCCTCAGCGGCCAGTGAATCAGGGCCCCTGCCCGCTCTGTTTACATTGGAGCTGGGGAAATTCTCCAAGGTTCATATTTATCCGTGTGCTTAGCGAAGGGACTGAACTTTGGACTTCAGCCCTGCAAAGTGCAGGCCTCATGGCAGCACAGAGGGACGGCAAGCCACGGCCTTCAATGGGAGTGGGCAGAGCAGAGGGTGGGGGAGGCGGTGGTGGGGGGCCCGGGGCAGCTGGGATGGAAGGTGCCGGGAGCCAAGGAGGACTTCGGGTGAGCAGCATCGGGTCCCACCCCCAAGGACCTTGTAGGGGGGGTCAGGCTGAGGCAGGAGAACAAAAACAGCAGGTTTCTCTTGGGAACAGAAGCAGCAGGGAGTTCTAGGCAAGTGGGCCAGCTCTCCTCAAGGGCAAGGTCATAGTCATTTGGGGACCTGCCCCCTCAGGCCTGGCACAGGCCTGCCCATAGGAAAAGCTGTTAACTTAGGTCTACAGTGTGCCTAGGACTATGCCAGGTCTGTGACAGTGCTGGATCAGTAATGTGCATCCTTACTTCATTGTGTCCCCCTATGAGTGTCCCCCTATGTGTACCCATGAGTAGGTAGGTACAGGAATTATCCCTATTCTACAGAGGAGGAAACTGAGGCTCGAGGCTCCAAGAGGGTACACAGCTAACAAGGGACAAGACTTTCCGGGTGGAAATAGGGTGAGGTCAGTGAGGCATTTGACTCAGGTGCACATTTTAAGGAGGCACCAAAAAACTCAGTAATCAAGAAAAATAATATTTCTATACAATATATTTAAAAATCAAAATGAATGCAAAACTCAAAATAACTAAAAACAGGTCCACACAAAACTTGCATGTGACTGTTCATAGCGTTATTCACAATAGCCAAAATGTGGAAAAAACATATGCCTCAGTGGATGAATGGATAAGTAAAACGTGATCTATCAATGCAGTGGTATATTATTAATATTTGACCATGAAAAAGAACGAAGTGCTACAACATGGGTGAACCACTGAAGACACTATACTAAGTGAAAGAAGCCAGACACGAAAGGTTAGATATTACAATATATGATTCCGTTTATATAAAGTGTCCGGAACAGGCAAATCCATAGAGACAGAAAGCAGATTGGTGGTTGCCAGGGGCTGGAGGGGTCAGAGGTGGGGTCGGGAACAGGGAGCGGCTGCTTAATGGGTAAGGGGTTTGTGGGTAATGGAAATGTTCTAAAGTTGATTGGGTGCTATTACCCAACTCTGAATATATTACAAACCACTGAGTTGTGAACTTTAAAAGGTGGGTTCTTTTAAAGGGTGAATTTTATGATATATAAATCAATAAAATATATTTTTCAATTAATGCCAAAAATCTGTGATGAACAAAATATCAAAATTATAAATAATGAGGGGTAAAAAGTATAACTATTGCACTGTGTTGTACAGCTGACACTAATTTTAAAAAAATGTGTATTTCACAATAAAAAATAGTTAATTAATTTTNCTGCAGCCTACGCCATCGCTGGCGACTCACGGCAGCCCAGCTCCAGGTTGAGCTGTTATTCAGCATCTTAGCTGTGGAGGACAGTGTCACTGGCCCTCATATGTGGGATCCGAACCGGGGCCCTCTGGCATCCCAAGCCAGTTCTTAACCATCGCGCCACTCGGCCGGCCCTAACTTGATAGGTTTAATAGAATGAAGGTTACAAAGGAAAAAGTCAATGAATTTGAAGATGGATCAATGGAAATTACCCATTCTGAAGACGAGAGAGAAAAAAAAAAACCTGAAAAAATTAGGCAGAGCTTCACAGACCTGTGGGACAACATTAAAAAGTCTACATGCCATGTGTAATTCAAAGTTAAGTAAAATAAAAGAGGGAGGGTGAAGCATAAAAAATATTTGAAGAAAAATGTGCTGATAATTTCCCAAATTTAATCAAAGTTTACAGATTCAAAAAGTTCAGAAAAGCTGCCCAAGCAGCATAAAGACAAAGAAAACCATGCCTAGCACAGCATAAGTCAAAAGTCTGAAATCCAAAGATAAAGGAATCTTGAAAACAGCCAGAGAAATATGGCACATTATAAACAGAGGCACTATGATACAAATGAGAGCTGACTTCTCTTAGTCAACAATGGAGGCTAGAACCTAATAGGTCAACATCTTTAAAGAGCTCAAAGGAATAAAACCCCTCTCAAACCAGATTTCTACATCCATTGAAGATGTGCTTCAAATAATAAGGCAAAACAGACATATTTTCAGATAAAAACGGAATTTGTCACCAGCAAACCTGCATTATAAGAAATGTCAAAGGAAGTTCATCTGGCTGAAGGGAAATGACAGCAAATGAACACTCAGATCTATAGGGAGGAATGAAAAGAACTTGAATGGTGAATATGTGAGTGCATACAAAACAGTTTATATATTTATTTTCTTCTCTTGATTTCTTTAAGAGACATGTGACTGTTTAAAAGCTAAAATTATGACTTTGTATTGTGGGATTTACAACATAGATGGATGTAATTTATATGATAACAATAGCACACAGGGAGAGAATGGGGATAAGTGGAACTATATTGTTGTGAAGTTCCTATATTTTATATTAAGCGGTAAAATATTAATTTCAGCAGATTGTGATAAGTTAAAGATTCATATTGCAATCACTACTGCACAAATACAATTCAAAGAGGGTATAGCTAAAAAAGCCAATAGAGGAATTAAAATGCAATACAAAAAATTATTCAATTAACCCAAAAAAAAAGCAGGAAAGGAGGAACAGAGGAACAACAAAAAAGGAGGAACAAGTAGAAAGCAAACAGCAAAATGGTAGAGCTAATCCTAAACACATCAATAATTACCAAACGTAAATGGACTAAAAACATTCTAATTAAAACAAAGAAATTGTCAGATAGGGCAGAAAAGCAAGATCCATATATGTGCTATCTACAACACTCATACTTTAAATACAAAGCCACACATAGGTTGAGAGTAAAAGGATGAAAAAAGATATAAAATGAAAACACAAATCATAAGAAAGCTGGGGTGATTATATTAACATCAAATAGACTTCAAAATAGACTGTAACAGATATTTCACAATGATAGAAGAGGCAATTCATCAGGAAGATATAACAGTTTTAAGTGTGTATTAACCTAATCACAGAGCTTCATATACATGAAGCAAAAATGGGTAGAAATAATGAAAGAAGTAGACAACTCACAATCATAATTAGAGATTTTAATACCTCTCAATAGACACCAAAATCAATTAGTAGACAACAAATCAGTGAAGACAGAAGACCTGAACAGCGTTATCATTTCCCTGACTTAATTGATGTTTATAGAACATTACACCCTAAAATAATAGAATATAAATTCCTTTCAAGTGCACATAGAATGTTCACAAAATAAACCATATGCTGGGCCATAAACAAGTTTTAAACAAATTTCAGAAGATTGAAATCTTACAGAAATCTTTAATTCTGACTACAGCAGAATTAAATTAGAAATCAATAATAATAACATATCTGAGAAAGCCCCAAATATTTGGAAATTAAACAACATTTCTAAAAAAAAAAAACAACAACCCATGGTATACTTAAATAAGTTGAAAACTTACGTCCACACAAAAACCGGCACAAAAATACTTATAGCTGCTTTATTTATACTTGCCCAAACCTGGAAGCATCCAAGATGTCTTTCAGAAGATGAATGGATAAGCAAATCCTGGTACATTCATACAATGAAATATTAATCAGCGATAAAATGAAACAAACTACCAAGCCACGGAAAGTCATGGAGAAACCTTAACAGCATATTGCTAAGTGGAAAAAGCCCATCTGTAAAGGCTACATACTGTATGATTTCAACTACTGGGTTGTCAGGAGAGTCATGACGCATTTTTGCATTGAAGAACATAGAAAAATACGTCATGACTTTCCTGATGACCCAATATATGACGTTGTGGAAAAGGCAAAACTGTGGAGACTGAAAGACGGGTGATTACCAGGGACTGGGGGCGGGGGAGGGTAGTGGATTTTGAGGGCAGTGAAACTATTCTGTACCACACTGTGATGGTGGATACGTGTCATTATACATCTGTCAAAACTTATAGAACTGTAAGAGTAAAGTCTAATGTACACTATGAATTTTAGTTAATAATGTGCCATCATTGGTGCATCAATTGTAACAAATGTGCCACACTAATACAAGAGGTAAATAAGGAAAACTGTGTGTTGGGAAATGGGACTATGTGGGAACTCTCTGTACTTTTCCATCAATTTTTCTGTAAACCTAAAATTGCTCTAAAAAATTAAATATATATTTTTTAAAAACCCATGACCCAAGACTGTAGGTGACCTGATGCCTAACAAGCTCACCATATACCTTACTTCCGGTCTTCTGTTTTCCTATAATGTCTTTGACAGAGATTTCTCTGCCCTTAGGATTCTCTTGCTCAGTTGGGAAGGAGGTTGTTGGGGACTGGGGGGAATGCCGAATACGAGATCCTGGAGAGAATCACCGGGGTACCAGGTCAAACCAGTTGTTCTGAAACCTGGTTCGCCTTCTCGCTCACTCAAGCATTCATTCCACAATCTTCGAGGTTCTCCTCTGAGCTAAGTGCTGTGCCAGGCACTGAAGATGTAACTGGCAACAAGCCATAGTCCCTTCCCACCAGGCATTCACAAGCCCGTGGGAGAGAATGACAAGTAAACAGGCAGTGACAGTTCATTGTCCTAAATGTTAAAACTCGGGTAAATTCAGGGGTCCGTGGGCGTACAAGGGAGGAGTGGCTAGCCTAGCCTAGGTTTGTTTAAGCAAGACTTCCTGGAAGAGGTGACACAGAAGCCATGCCTCAAATTATGGGCAGCAGTTAAAAGGCAACGGGAATGCTCCTGGGCTTGGTCAGAGGTTTGGAAGCAAAAAACAACAGCCCATCAGGAAGCTGCAAGCAGTTCACTGTGGAGTATAAATAAAGTGCATGTGTGAGTGTGTGTGTGTGTGTGTGTGTGTGTGTGTGTGTGTGTGTGTGTGTGTNATAATGCCTGGCACATAGTAAGCACTCCATAAATGGTCGCCATTTTATTATTATCATGACTAAATATTTACATGAGAGATTCAGGGGTGAGGAAAACAGACGTCGTGACGGTGGATAAGATAAATAAGGATGTGCAGCGCCCGGCGCATAGAGGTGCCCCCAGGAAATAGGGTGGTCCTCCTCCTCTCCTTCCCAGGAGCATGTCCCCACTCTGAGAACCCCTCTGGTCCTCGGTGTTCACGGAGACCTACAGACCTGACATAGGATGAAGGCTGAGTGAACGCTCTGGCTGGCATAAGTGCCCCAGAAGTGTCTAGTCACCTTGGGGTGCGCCATGTGTCCCCAGGAAAGGTTTCCCTGGGGAGGAGTCCTGAACAGAAGTCCACCAGACATGGGCCAAGCTTCCCCCAAGCTGCTCACCAGCATCTAGAAAAATGGGGTGTTAGGAGCTTGCCTTTCTTGGGTCTTCCTGGTCAGGCCTGGGTTCCCCTTAGAACACTGACTTAGGTCTGACTCTCAGGAACAGAGATGGTTAGTTTTACCAATTTGAGTCTGGTTTTGCGATTTTCACACCTTAGTCTGATACTCAAAGTTGCCACTCAGGGCTTCACTGAAGGTGTGGCTTTTAAGGTCCAGCTCACAGGCAAGAAGGGGCACAACCGGACGCTGAGGGCAGCTTAGTTACTTGCAAGAAGATCTTCCAGGCTCTGGAATGCTTTCTGCTCTCTAGGGCAGAGGGACTCGGGTGGGGATGGCTCAGTTGCAAGGATAGACAGAAGTCGTGTTAACTTTTGGGAGAGAGGGATTTTGATACCTTAGAAGACATAGGTATAGTTTAACTCTAGAAGCTAGATTTAGTTAGGTGCTATAACAGAGTTCATGATAGCAGAAATGCTGAAGAAGGGTGTGTTCAGAATAATAGCTACTATTTATTGAGGGCTTACCAGGTGTTCACAGGCCTTATCTCGTGTAATCTTGACAACACCCCTGTGAGGTTGGTGCTATTGTTATCCTCATTGAAGAGAGGAGAAAGCAGGAAGCTCAGAGAGGTGGGGCTAACTGCCCAAGGCCACACAGTTAACAGGTTACAGAGCCAAAATGTGAACCTAAGTAGAGTGACTCCAGAGCCCACACTGGTTTTTTTTTAAACTTTATTGGGGAACGGTGTGTTTTTTTTCAGGACCCATCAGCTCCAAGTCAAGTCATTGTCCTTCAATCTAGTTGTGGAAGGTGCAGCTCAGCTCCAAGTCCAGTTACTGTTTTCAATCTAGTTGCGGGGGTGGGGGGGGTCACAGTTCACCATCCTATGCAGGAGTTGAACCGGCAACCTTATCGTT